TACAAATAACGTACTCACCATCTGTACACACCAATGCATTTTCAACACTACTGACTCATCACCCTTCCAGACTTGTAGTAGAGTTACTAAGGCTCTGGAGCTTCAAAGGGCTCCCATACAGGTATCATAAATAAACTCTCAAGGAATATAGCATGCCCTCACTTACAGTCAGCACAACAGAACCATCGGCTGTAAACACACTCATAGCCAAGATTTGCAGAGGGGTTTTTACTTGGGTTTTCCAATCTCCACCATTTACAGCATGGCACCAAACACAAACACATTGGTATTGTCACAAGGGAATCTTCCCTTAAACAAAGACTAACCATAGACTTATTGGCATCACACACCTTCGCTACCCCAAGTCTCAACTCCCTCATACCCTCCGAGGAGTTTCCTTACTATACACACCATTGATCTACCTTTACAGCTATCACTCAAGCAGGAGTTGAAGCTTCGTTAAGTAAGACCAATATCATCACCACAGTAAACGGCTACCATCTACCCTACAAACTGGCACTTGGCATAAAATGGGCAATCCTTTCCCCGCTAAAAGCAGCTGCTGTGGCATGGGGTAAATCATGGTCAGGGTCATCAATCCGTTGTTACTCAGACAACTAAGCGCATGTCATATCATCAACAAATGCCACTCATCATCCATACGATCATGGTATTGCTGGGGAACTCACTTGGTTGGCCACTTACCACATTTCTTTTACTTTCATGTACCAGGCGGTGGTATACATCCTTGCCGACAATTGTCTCATTTATATTCCAGGCATGTTCATCATACGCTTCCTACAGCCGCCCATACAGTCACGGCCACTCTTTCGTTCCAGAGACAAAATCATGGATTAGACATACTCATGCAGCATAGCATGCACTATCCCACCTAGCACTTTCATCCCATACTTGTAGAACGCATAACACCTATTCACCTGGCTTTAAAGAATCTCATTGGAACACGACATAGCTCAACCTGTGTCATAACATTTCTCCTAGGTTTTGCTTCATTTTTTGCCACCTTAAACTAAAACCATCTCACACACCATTAATTATATATTTTACAGGCATTCAACAACACAGGATAACCTATGGCCAAAACTACCATAACTTCATGCTATCATACCAGACAAGAATATACTATACCATCCCCCCACGTTCCACTCAGAGATTACCAATAGCCTTCCAACTTTTCCATCCTTATCGGACTTATTAGAGCTACAACCTTTCAATTATACTACCAAGTTGGCCATTACCAGCCATGCACACTGCCTTTTATGCCTTTCTCAGGCCAGAGAATCCACTACCATAATCACCACTCAGACAGATCATTGTCTTCAACGATCCCACGTATGTAAACACATATATCATTACCTATTGGCTCTACCACATTCCGAAACGATGCAACATGCACCAACAGTAGAGATAACATACTATCCTACCCACAACAAATGGTGTCCAGTTGCGGTCCTAGATTCCTACCTTCAAAAATCCTTCAAGGAATTAAATACCGTAATGCATTTAAGGAAATGTCTGGTTAATTTGTATATATTGTTGACTGTATTAAATCTTTGATTATTCTTTTTGCCCTCTTTATTTACAGGCCTACCGTATCGTCGGTCTCGGCACACCACAACCGACTTGCTCCCTTTATACTATCCTACGCTTATGCTGGAACCTTACTCCATATACGGCTATTTGCCCCGAACACAAGTTTTAAGGCCATTTGGCCTGTATTTGTGGGAGGGGCTTAAATTAATTCACTCCCCTATATAAGGGACACCCCTTACCTGACTCATATCGCTTGAGGTCAGCATCAGAATGACCCTCCCACCCACTCCTCATTTCAACACTTTCTCTTTTCTTTCCATTTACTTACTTACTTACTCCTTGGTGGGCCCTCTTTATTTACAGGCCTACCGTATCGTCGGTCTCGGCACACCACAACCGACTTGCTCCCTTTATACTATCCTACGCTTATGCTGGAACCTTACTCCATATACGGCTATTTGCCCCGAACACAAATATATATATATATATATATATATATATATATATATATATATATATATATATATATATATATATATATATATATATATATATATATATATAATGAAGAAAATAGTTATTTAACATTTCTGCCTTTTCCTGGTCTTCATTAGCTAACAGACCCCTCTCTGTTTCCAGTGTACCTACACTTTCATTTTTTGTTTTTTTAGAATTGATATTCTTGAAAAATAAATTGGGATTGGTTTTGCATTCTTTGGCTTTCAATTTCTTATTTTTTACTTTAGCCACTTTAATGGCCTTTTTGCAAGCATTATTGACTTCCTTTTATCTTATATATAGGATGCCTCTGATTTGTCCGATTTAAATGCCCTTTTCTTATTTTAATCTCTTGTTTTACTTCTCTACTAAGCCACATTGGTTTCAATTTTCTTTCTTTTATATTTATTACCCAATGGTACATACTGAGAAATGTACCTTTATAATATTTGTTTGAAGAGTTTCCATTTATCCTCAGTGTTTTTTTTTCACTAAGGAGTTTATGCAGTTGTAGAGCTGCCCTAGGTTTATATCTATGTTTCCCTTCAGAGTCAAGTAAAATCTAAAATTATTAGTCAACGAAACAGTGGTGTCGCTAGGAGGGGGCCATGGCCCCCCCTACATCATGCTGTGCCCCCCCCCTTGGGCCCTCCCCATATGCTCTCTGTCTTGGGATATTATACACAAACAGACCTGTATTATACAGAGAGCAGCACTATACAGGGAGCACTGACTCTCCCGGGATATTATACACACAGCCATGTATTATACAGAGAGCAGCACTGCACAGGGACCGCTGACTGTCCCAATTTATTATACACACAATCCTGTATTATATAGAGAGCACTTACTGTCCAAGGATATTATACACAGACCGTAATTGATAGCTGTGCTGCAAAATGTCCTTGGAAGAGTTAAATAATTATAAAAACATGTGAGATTTATTTTTTAAAGAATACATGGCACAACTCACAGGTAACATTTAGTAAACTATTGGGTTGTGCTAAATTCTCAGAAGTGACAGCTATGTGTTAATATGTTCTCATTAAGAAGCATTAACTCCACATAAATAGAATTGTTTACAAATGATTCAGCTCTTGTGTTTATAACTGGCAGTTAGTGTGCAACTCATTGTTCAAACTTGTCTACTCACAGAATGAACATAACTTGGTAAAGTTCAAGTCTTTATTCTTTTTCTTTTATCTTTTTAGCTCTGTAATGTGTAGACACTAAGAAATCGTCAAACTACTATACAATGATCTGAAAGAAATGTCTCTGTTGGTTGTTTGAGTCAGTTGTCAGCCACTAGAGGAACTTCCGGGTTCTTAGATGACTTTTGGTCATCTAAACGACGCAGGACGTCCTCACGCTATGCATGAGGATCTCCAGCGTCGTCGGAATCCCCATAGGAAAGCATTGAATAATGCTTTCATATGGGGAGGTCAAATGCGTGTGCAGCTGGGAGGAGCGTGGGCAGAGCCGACCCAGCGCCAAGGGACATCGACAATGGATTCAGGTAAGTGACTGAAGGGGTTTTAACCCCTTCAGCGACATAGGATGGGAGTGGGAGGAAAGGAGCCACTTCAGGATTCAACAGTGCCAGTAAAATGGTTTTGTTTTCCTGGCGCCTTTAAACTCAGCATTTCACACATTCCCATTGCTGCTGCCACTGAAATAATTCCCAAATGTGACCCCAAAAGGGGAAACCCCCTAGAATACAAAAACAGCATTTTTCTCTCTGGACCAAAGTATTCTGAATAATGGCTATATTATACTTTTAATGCCTTGTGTACTGTTTTTGCTTTAACATTCTACACCCGAAACGGCCTGGATTAAATTAGGTAATATTTTTTTTTTTTGTGGATTCCATAACTATTTTGTTTTTACTATATTAAACCCGTTCTTGTACCGTACGTGAGATCACCTATCCTCAAGTCTTAAAGTTAATGAACAGAGCACATGTAAAAAGTTTAATTGGTCCTGTATAAATGTGTCACGGAATCCTATGCCTTTTAGAGCTTTGCATATTGTTGCCCAATCTGATACTTAAATTTCTGCATTTCTTTTTAGAGTTTTTTGAAGAAACACATTTTTGCATTAAGAAAATTGTGCTTTGTACAAGAGATCAAAGTTAGGCGTGGTAGGGCAGAGTAGACTAACTCTGTAAATAACCTGGGTCATATGCGATAAGGAACTTCAGGTCACACAGAGCAGAAATGTAGTTGGGAGCACACCTATTTTATCTGTGCCCAAAGCCTCCTAGCACCAGTGCACTGTAGTGGTTATGGTGCTTGGAATGCCCTTTTAAGTGTTGTTACTAGAGAGAGAGACATTAGGAGAGATTTTCATCTTTTGTATCTACGATGTGTTTTTGTTATTTCTTTTGAGGGTACGCAAGTAAATCTGCTGTCCCTATAAGCAGATGTGTTCTGCGTGATTATCTTTAAACTTGTTCCTAGCATATAATGGATTGCAATGCGATGGAAATAGATAAACAGTGTGATTTAAGTTCAAACTGGGTAAAAATAGCAAACCTATAATATAATACTGTATATTATATTTAACTGATCCTGCAGAATGTATTCTAAATCACAGGTTTCAAATCAATTTCCCTGGGGGCCACTGGGAGTGTTACTGTCTCTCATGGAGGCCACAGATCTGTACTGCCGGAGAGACGCATCCATATACACAAATCGGCTCTCCCATTGCCAAGACACACACATCCTTACTCCCTTACATGCATATCCCGTAGCACGCAACTCTAGAATGCCACAGGCTCACAGGTTTCTGAACACCAGAAAATACAGGTGTGAATGTGGGTTTGACCAGTGGCCACCAGCAAACTGGGAATAAGAAAGGTATGCCCTGGACTCAGACTTACTTCTCTATTTCAGGACGGGGGGCTGTGAACAGAATTTCCCTATTTAAGGGTCCGGAAAGGTGCCCCATGGCTGTTACTTTGATACCCTTGTTGTAAATAATCTTCCAGGCCTTTAGCAAAATAATTATTGATTGAATGTATTTTGTTTTGTAGGAAGCTGCACAAGCTCTGATTTATGCCGGAATGGCTGGTTCAACACTGGACAATATTCAGGACAAAATAAGGGAGTACTTGGAGAGAGTGGAAGCGTTGTACAGTGCAGGTAGGTACTCTCTCTCTATATACCCCGATGCTGCCATGATTATTCTTATTGGTTTCTGTTTATTGCCACATCTCCTTTTGGATCATTCATGACAATGTCTTAGCCAGTCACAGTGATCATCTAATCACTTGTTTCTGTAGGTTTTTTTCTTTATTCTATTTCCCTCCTCCTTTTAGTCATTTGCCCCCTGTCACATGGCATGTTTAGGAATATTGTTCCTAATATATGCCTATTAGAAGGAATTGACAGACCCAAAAGTGTGTAGAAAATTATATATGTGGGTTGACTTTTTAGTGGATGGGTTTAACCCTTGATGTATACCCTTATAACAATTGGAGGGGGTAGCAGTGCTCCACTGGTCTGACAGTTAAATGTAATCCCTCAGCTTCCCATGCATGTTACTGTTACTGGATTGATGTTGTAAAATAAGCACTGAACTGAAAATCCATGTGTTTTTTGTCTCCCATGTTATAGTTCAAGGACAGAATGCTGACCCTTTAAAAACAAAACATCACTTGGACCTTGAGAGGGCACACTTCCTTGTCACTCAGGCATTTGAGGAGGATGATAAAGGCAATATGGAAGATGCCATCGAGCTGTACTCTGAAGCTGTTGAACTGTGCATAACAACGGTCAGTAAACAGTCCCATCACTGCTGGGACATTTCTCCTTTACTTAAATGACTCTATTACTACTATTATACATGAAATGAATTAGAAATAACCGTAGTCCAAATTAGAATTGCAGTTAAGTTTTATTCTTTCTTTACTTTGCTAAAGCCATAATTATTTAAGTTCTTTACGTGGGCAATGCACCTAATTAGATGATGCATGTTGTGCATTTAGGTTTTAGATGTTTTGCTAGGCCGCCATGTTTATACGTCTCCCACTCAGCATAATCACATCTGCACTTATACAAGGCCTTTATATATATATTGTGTACAAATGTGTGAATTTACGGGTGTAATGAATATGCGTATAATATATGTGAAAACATTGTAGAGTAGTTATAACCAACTTTAATCTTTGAGCTAGACTTCCCATGAAGCATGACCCACCTTACGGGGAGCTATAGTTCATAGACATATACACTGCTCAAAAAAATAAATGGAACACTTAAACAACAATATGTAACTCCAAGTCAATCACACTTCTGTGAAATCAAGCTGTCCACTTAGGAAGCAACACTGAGTGACAATCAATTTCACATGCTGTTGTGCAAATGGGATAGACAACAGGTGGAAATTATAGGCAATTAGCAAGACACCCCCAATAAATGAGTGGTTCTGCAGGTGGTGACCACAGACCACTTCTCAGTTCCAATGCTTCCTGGCTGATGTTTTGGTCACTTTTGAATGCTGGTGGTGCTTTCACTCTAGTGGTAGCATGAGACGGAGTCTACAACCCACGCAAGTGGTTTAGGTAGTGCAGCTCATGGCACATCAATGCGAGCTGTGGCAAGAAGGTTTGCTGTGTCTGTGGGAAATGCATGATATTTAATACGTATTCTCTCATTTATCTGACTTTGTATAGTCTAATGATACTACAGATCAAAACCTACAAGCAAAACTCAAACAGCTGGCTCGACAAGCCTTAGACCGGTCAGTAAATTGTATATTGCTATATGTTTTTAGTACACTTTGAATTGGAATTGAATTTCATTTTTGCCTCAAGCTACTCGATTACACAAATTACACAGCTTATTGTATTTTTTCTGGTGATTATATGTATTCCCTTCAGGCTTTTTGCCGTAAACACTGTGTTTTCAGAGAAAATGCAGAGCTCACATTGCAGCCTAGGAATAACTCCAATGGCAACTCCTCAGATTGCTACTAGAGGTTCTTCCTGGGGCAGTGCTGCAAAGTGAGCAGCCCTGAAATTCGGTGTCTCCACCCTCTGCATGGAGACACTGAACTTTCCTGATAGAGATGCATTAAATCAATGCATTCCTATGAGGAGATGTTGATTGGCCAGGGTGGTGTTTGACTTGTACTGACTGCCCCGATCTACCTCCTTGAGAGTCTTAGCCAATCCTATGTGAAAGCATTGTGATTGTCTCAGAGAATCACTTTTGATGATGTCAGCCAAGCAGGCAGACCAGGGACAGAGCCAGCAGCAGCAGACTTGACTAAGTAGATTTTATTATATTTGGGGGTGGGGTCAGGAGGGCTAGATGGTGGTTTTAACACTATATGGTCAGGAACACACGTTTGTGTTTCTGACCCTATAGTGTTCCTTTAAATTTAAGCTGAGACCTAACATGGGAGCTTTTTAGAATCCACGGCAGGTAACGCTATCAAAATTATGTAATTTCTCCCAGACGTTCCTGGAAGTAAGACTTTTCATCAGGACATGATGTATGTCTTAGTGTATATTTACTTAATTTATGTCCAGTCCTGTAAGCAGATCACAAATTGAAAGTTAGATCATAAATCTACATGTCCAGTAGTAGTGTAACATTATTTAAGACCCTTGCAGAATATTGCCATTTGACTGTTCCTTTCTGTCTAAGGCCTCAATTTAATATTTTTGGATAAGCTTTGCAAATGATTTAATAATTTTTTATAAATTTACCGTTAGAAGTTTACAATCCTTTTTGAAAAATATGAAAACATAAAAATATATATATCATATAAATGAATACATTATGTTTATCCAATAATATTAAATTATTTGAAATGCTTCTCCAAAAATTAAAATCGAAGCCTAAGTGGTTTTTGGTGGAACTATGTTTAATTGTATAAATGTAGCCAACCATCAAGTTTAGGATAGTTAGGATAGGGATTGTAGGATTTTAGTGCAGTTTTATTTTGACATTAATCCTTTACATTCTCCAGCAGCCAAAGCCCATCTATTCCTTGTTATGTGTTCAATATATTTCTTCTGTTAAGCAGGAAATGACTGAAAACACTGAAAATCTGTGTATCCCCTAGTTTGCGCTGAATTGATCCAGGCTCTCTGTTACCATGTGCCTAGTTCTCATTCTCCTTTTGTATCGTTCTAGTTAAATGAATATTGTTTTCTAGTATTACATAATATGGCACCATCATTTTCCATTCCCAGCATCAGTTAACACATTGGGTGTAATGGTATAAGTGAATTTGAAAGGACAATAAACAACTTCAATGTTTTTCTGATTTCTTTATTAATTTCTAAATTTGTGTGGGGGGGTGGGTTTCCCCTAATAGAGCAGAATCTCTGAAAGAATCAATGTCTAAATCATCTGCTAAAGACAAAGCTCCTCTAACCAAACCAAATCAGCCAACAAGAACATTCTTTCCTCTTGGCCAAGACTTCAGCTTAAATGATAAACCGCAGAGTGTACGACCAGGACAGATCAATGAGGCTCCTCGACAGAGGTATACATCGGAGGAGATAGAAGTGCTCAGGTACTGTAATATTTATTTTCTTTAATTGTTTAATCCAGGAGGTTGAAAAATATCTTGATCTCACTCCGTTAAAAGTTTAGCCTCTGTAAAATGGTGTTGGGTCTGCAACGAGACCTTTAGCTGCTTTGATCATTCTGCTACCACAAAGGATAACACCTTTTTTGATAGGAGTATTTGACTTTTTCCCTGAGATTTCTGATCCTTATGTGCTATGGATATTTTCTTTATGTTTGACAGGAAGACGTCGAAGATAAATAGCATTGAATATGTGCCTTTCATGAGCGTTGACCTACGGGAACGTTTTGCTTTTCCAATGCCATTCTCGTGAGTAAACCATGTGATGTGGACATCTTTTTATTGTGTCACACAAAATAAGCCACACATGTCTGAATGGGATCTGTTATAATACATGAGTATAAATAGGATCTATTAAAAGTATTTTGAATGGGATCTATTTTAAGGCATGACTGGACAAATTAAATGACCCAGATAAATAGGATCTATTAAATAACATAAACCAGATAAATAGGATCTATTAAATATCATGACCCAGATAAATTGGATCTATTAAGTAGCATGATCCAGATAAATGGGATCTATTAAGTAGCATGATCCAGATAAATAGGATCTATTAAATAACATGAACCAGATAAATAGGATCTATTAAATAACATGATCCAGATAAATAGGATCTATTAAATAGCATGATCCAGATAAATAGGATCTATTAAATAGCATGATCCAGATAAATAGGATCTATTAATTAACATGACTCAGTGAATGTGATCTATTAAATGACTCTATGACTAGGATCCCTTTACTAAAGACAGCCTGTAGTGTCATAGTGATCTTACATTTAATGGGTTACTCCAACCTCCATTAACACTTCTGCTTTGTGGGGGAACAAAGTGACAAGTGCCCAATAGGGCATTATAAAGTAAAAATATTAGAGTAAAACATTAATGATCTTATTCCAAACAGTTTGTCCACTCATTTTCTTGTAATAGCCCAATAAACTGGAAAATCCAAACTCTTTAGGGATCACATTGTAGTGATGGCAAAGAGTGTAATTGGTACGTATGAGGCTTAATTCCATGAAACAGAGTGGGATTGCTTAAAATGGCTCTTTCGTTATGTTGATCTATTGGCTCCCAGCTATGTGATCTCTTCCTTAAGTCCTGCCGGTTCATCCTCCAAACTTGTCTGGCACCTGGACCAGTTCAACTTTATCATTTTTGAAGTTGTTCCATTCCCATCGGGTGTACTTTCTCATCACAGCCATCTTAAATGCTTACATAAGTATCTAAGATGGCGGAAACATATCTTCTGTACTACCCTGGCGAGTGCATGAAATACATATGTGCCCAGGGAATCCGGTGACTTCTACTGACCTCGGTTGGCTCTTGCGATTGCGACAGAGTAAACACTGATGATAAGTGTTGCGAGGAAGTGAAGCGAGGAGGGAGGGGGATGATTGTAGCCAAAGAAGGCCAATTTTGACAAAGGCCATAGACTTTCACTAAAGCTCCACCCTTTGTAAACTTTTGTCATTTCTGAGGGGAAAAATGCATAAATAAATAAAACCAAAAAAAAAACAAATCAGGGCAGCCAAGGCATGTATTTGGGACATGCCTATGGAAAAAAAATGACAGATCCTATTTTCCAAATGGGAATAGAATTCATTGGCGCAATATGTCGTTAATAGAATTAGTAATATTAACTACGTATCAGATGAAACCTTTATTTAACACATTCCATGTTTATAGATAAAATCAATCTGAAATTAATACAAACTGTGTAACTTTAGAGACAAATTTGGCAAGCTGGCGCTGTCACCCAAACAGAAAGCCATATTCTCCAGATGGGTTCGACCCGATGATATTACAAACAACCCTACAATGATCTACACTGTGTCCAGCTTCAGCATCAAACAGGTAATCCATGGCATTTTATAAAGGAAGAGGAACGTTAATGTGTGTAAACAATAACTGTTATCTATGGTATACTATGCAAACCTGTAATGAATTGCACTTAAGAAATAAATAAAAATTTTAAAAAAATAAACCAGCCTGGGACTTAGAATTAACAATATCACATTCATCCAGTCTTCAGCTGGTCATTTTACATATCTACCAAATAAGATGAATATATCGTACATCTGTTAAGGGATTTTTTGATGTTTTTATATAGATGGCTATGTACAAAACTTAGCATGGCCCAACAAAGAAAACATTATGTTGTCTTAGGACAGTGATGACAAAACTTTGACACTCCAGCCAAATGTTAGCCGTTTACTATTCCTGGAGATTGCAGGAAACAAACTATGGATCACCAATAGATGGCACTAGAGAAAAGATTTAACTTGAAAACGATTCTTGAAAACTATATTTTTAAAGTTCCCTTCTAAGATGTATTTATTTATTGATTATAGGAGCTTATTCTGTAATTATTCAGTATTTGTTAACGTGTAGCAATGTTTATTTGTCACCAGACAATCGTGTCAGATTGCTCTTTCGTGGCTTCCCTAGCCATCAGTGCCGCTTACGAGAGACGCTACAACAAGAAACTCATTACAAGGTATGTCAAGCATCAGCATATTAGCAACCAGTTGGGATTAAACACAGCTCTTAACCAGTGAGAGTAATCAGCCACTTCTATAAACACCACACACAGATCTGGATATTTCCATGTACACATCATTTCAGGAGTAGTAAAAATAAACAAACTTGTCAGCCACAGATTTTTGGAGTGGTGGAACAAGGAATACAGGGCCGGGTCAATCTAGGTCAATTCTCAGCCAAGATTCCATTCCTGTTCATGAAAAAAATTTAAATGGCAGAAACTACTTGGCACGTTAATAGCAGTCACTTTGTTTTTATATAATTCAAGTTTAATGTATTATTGTCATGAATGAAACTATTTGTGAGTCTGATATGCAGAGTGACCAGATCCACCATGTTTACAGGGACACATATATAATTGTCATTTTTATGAAAACTGTGGCCCTGCAGTATGTATAATGCATATTCTGTTGGATTCTTTATTGCTTAATTGCTTAATCTTACACACCTTCTGAATTCTACATTTTACAGGGCTACTATTTTCATGTGATGCCCATCAATATGTATATATGTGTCCCAGAAAACATGGTGGATCTGGTAACCCTGCTTATATGGGCTTTCTCATAGAAACCATAAAAAAGCCTGGACAACTAAAGCATGTCTTCCGAGACCTTGTATTGGCAAAGTGATTAATTGCTTCCCCCTCCCATATCACAAACACATGTCTGGGAGTATACCACCATTGCTATAATGAATAAGTTTGGGGTCATATGTAGTTATTGTGCTTTTTATTATTATTATTATTAAAAGTTAAATGTCCCTTCTGTTTAGAAACAGGGAAATTAGTGAGTAGTTCTCTTGTGTTCATTTACATATCCTGTGATTCTCTGACAGCTAAACTTAATGGAAGTGGTTCCTGGCAACTGTGTTTAGGGGTTGTAGCCAAACTCATTTACGTTTTACTGGTATCATTTTAAAAAACCTAGCTGTAGCTGTAAGTTTAATTCTCACTTACTATACTTTTATTTACGTTTACTTCTTACTTTTCTTTATCTGTACAAATTTTTTTTTACAAAACTGTTTCCCGAAACTGAATTTTGTTTTCTCACTTAGCATAATTTACCCTCAAAATAAAAAAGGAGAGCCAGAATATAACCCGTGCGGAAAATATATGGTGAAATTGCACATAAATGGTGTTCCTAGAAAGGTAAGTGACAGTCTTAATTTCTTAACCTGTTCTCGTGTTACAAAAGAACAACATTGAATGTTTACTTCAAAAGCTATTTGAAGTCACATTTTTCCTCTAGAAGTGCAATAATATCAAAAGAAAGGCAGATGAACTGATAAAACTATATTGATAAAACTGATAAAATATTCCAGCTAAAAATGTATCCTTTTTTATATATACAGTTGCAAGAAAAAGTATGTGAACCCTTTGGAATAATATGGATTTCTGCACAAATTGGTCATAAAATGTGATCTGATCATCATCTAAGTTACAACAATAGACAATCACAGTCTGCTTAAACTAATAACACACAAAGAATGAAATGTTGCCATGTTTTTATTGAACACACCATGTAAACATTCACAGTGCAGGTGAAAAAAGTATGTGAACCCCTAGACTAATGACATCTCCAAGAGCTAATTGGAGTGAGATGTCAGCCAACTGGAGTCCAATCAATGAGATGAGATTGGAGGTGTTGGTTACAGCTGCCCTGCCCTATAAAAAACACACACCAGTTCTGGGTTTGCTTTTCACAAGAAGTATTGCCTGATGTAAATGATGCATCACACAAAAGAGCTCTCAGAAGACCTACGATTAAGAATTGTTGACTTGCATAAAGCTGGAAAGTGTTATAAAAGTATTGCTGTTCATCAGTCCACGGTAAGACAAATTGTCTATAAATGGAGAAAGTTCAGAACTGCTGCTACTCTCCCTAGGAGTGGCCGTTATGTAAAGATGACTGCAAGAGCACAGCGCAGACTGCTCAAGAAGAATCCTAGAGTGTCAGCTAAAGGCTTACAAAAGTCACTGGCAAATGCTAACATCCCTGTTAGCGAATCTACAATACATAAAACACTAAACAAGAATGGATTTCATGGGAGGATACCACAGAGGAAGCCAATGCTGTCCAAACAAAACATTGCTGCACGTTTACAGTTTGCACAAGAGCACCTGGATCTTCCACAGCAGTACTGGCAAAATATTCTGTGGACAGATGAAACCAAAGTTGAGTTGTTTGGAAGAAACACACAACACTATGTGTGGTGAAAAAAAGGCACAGCACACCAACATCAAAACCTCATCCCAACTGTGAAGTATGGTGGTGGGGGCATCATGATTTGGGGCTGCTTTGCTGCGTCAGGGCCCGGACAGATTGCTATCATCGAAGGAAAAATGAATTCCCAAGTTTATCAAGACATTTTGCAGGAGAACTTAAGACCATCTGTCTACCAGCTGAAGCTCAACAGAAGATGGGTGTTGCAACAGGACAATGACCAAAAGCATAGAAGTAAATCAACAACAGAATGGCTTAAACAGAAGAAAATACGCCTTCTGAAGTGGCCTAGTCCTGACCTCAACACGATTGAGATGCTGTGGCATGACCTCAAGAAAGCAATTCATCCCAAGAATATTGCTGAACTGAAACAGCTCTGTAAAGAGGAATGGTCAAGAATTATTCCTGACCATTGTGCACGTCTGATCTGCAACTACAGGAAACGTTTGGTTGAAGTTATTGCTGCCAAAGGAGGTTCAACCAATTATTAAATCCAAGGGTTCACATACTTTTTCCACCTGCACTGTGAATGTTTACATGGTGTGTTCAATAAAAACATGGCAACATTTCATTCTTTGTGTGTTATTAGTTTAAGCAGACTGTGATTGTCTATTGTTGAGACTTAGATGATGATCAGATCACATTTTATGACCAATTTGTGCAGAAATCCATATAATTCCAAAGGGTTCACATACTTTTTCTTGCAACTGTATATAGATGCATTAAATCTATTGTAAAATAATTACATTTAATTTATTGTAAGTGTCCCTCATTGATCTGAGTAATGGGCCAACCTGCATTTTAGAGCAGAACCCTCTAGAATGAGACGACACTCCAATCAGGAGACTCTCATCCTGTTATATGGCATGGGATTGTATGCCATAAACTCTTAACAAGCAGGGCTTAATCAAATAAGTAGTTTATAACTCAACTGCAGTTCCAATCATCACACAGGATGATTATAACTGCATTATAAAAAGGTAGAATCCACGGCATGGCTAATATTCTCCACAGGCTGTTTTCAAGGTGTTTGAGAACTGTCCTGTGTTCTGATATCGGCAGAGCCATGGGCCTCTCATGCAGAGTACGCGGCTAGACTCTCTCTGTGTAGACAGAGACACAACGTCTTGGCTCTTGTTCATGAAGTGTATGAAGAAAATTGATATAAGGCAACCCAGAACAAAGTGTCTCAGCTGCTTATAGCGACAGCGTTTTTTACAAATCAACACTTGCATACGCCACTCTCAGAAATGAGAGTGGGCTCAGGGTGCTCTAAGCATCGTGCACGTTGTAGTAATGTGAAGTGCTTACAGTGCTTAGACTACCCTTGCAATGATTGGAACACTGAAGTAAATAAAAACCAATAATGCATGCCAAAAGCTGGTCAGCTGATAACCAATCAAAGATGGCACCATGGACTTAGAAGCACTAATGTTCCAATTAAACACCTGTGGGGTGGATACCATTATTAAGTGTAAATATTTATAGTTCATATATCTAAAATATGTATACATAAATGCATAAGTATAATCCCGTATACATCTATCTAATCATCCACCTCATACCACCACACACAATCTCATTTAAGGAATCATCTCTCTACAGGTGTCATGCTGGGCCCCCAACAACCAACGAAGTTTTGCTGTAATTAGAATCTGTATTTGTGACAAGGTGTAGTTTATTACTGTACTGCTGCCTGTCTCTCATTAGGTCTAACCTTGGATAAGCGAGAAATACAGTTTCTTAGTGAAAAGACAAGCTTTAAGGCAACACTTAGGGACAATTACATAATCCCTTATTTCAGAGCTAGTCAAAGGGATTGTCCACTTAAAATTTGGCAGTATGTTTTTAACCCAATATACGAATAATGCATAAAAACTATATTGAAAAAAATGATATAGGTTAAGAAAAAGGTTACTTACCCGCAAAGTGTCCTTTTGTACATTGCTTATGCAGGCAGACCCTTCCATCACCAGGATGAGATATTCCGAACATTACTGGGATTAATATTATCATGTCAGCAGGGGATTATGGAATATTCTGTTTATAACGAAAGAGCAGGTCCCACAACATGTGATGATTGGAACTGCTGAACCTCTTGCACAATAAGGACAACATTGACACTGGCAGCCTGGAGCTGTGCGTTCTGGCTGTCTGACTTGACAGCCTTGGTGAGCTGTCTTGTTGAAGCCGAGATTTCTACTCAGATATGAGTGGGTTCATGGTGCTCTAAGGACCATGCATGTTGCAATAAAACAAATGGCTTATGGTGATTTAATTGAATCTTTAATAATTATAATAACAAAGTATTTAACCAGGAAAGGTACTTTCAGATTACTCTGGTTTTCAAGTACGTCCTGGGGATGTTACCTTAGCCCAACATCTAGGGGTTGTTACTATTACCCAATTTAATGGTACTCATTTTATCTACCTCGGAAGGATGAAGGGCTGAGTCAACCCTGCCGGGATTTGAACCTGAACCAAGGGTTGACCAGATTCCACTGATGATGCATTAATTTAAAGTGAATTGTTATAATTAAGGCCAAAATAACACAATAGGATACATTTTCCAAGTTGGCCAAATTTCACTTTGGCTATTTTAGCTTATAATGTGAAATTCACTTTGGATTACCAGCAGTTCACACTTTTGAATTACCGTACCCTGTTATTTTCTGAAAGATGCAGAAGTGTATAAGCTGCGTTTTTAAAAAGGCATTTACATTCATAGTCTGTTACTCTAAGTGCATGTTTCCATTATCTGGGGTCTAATTACAAGAAAAAAAATACATTTACAAAAAACAATGTAATCAGAATATTCTGTCACTGTACCTTTGTTTTAACAGGTCATTATCGATGACTATTTGCCTGTGGATCACAATGGAGAACTTCTGTGCTCTTACTCAAACAACAAGAACGAGTTGTGGGTTTCCCTGATCGAAAAAGCCTACATGAAGGTTATGGGAGGGTATGACTTTCCTGGATCCAATTCAGTAAGTAAAATGGCAGAATCCTATCCCAGTCTCTGATTCTGCCCTGTGACACAGGGCTTGCGTGATCCACTTGCTTATCTTTATACACCCAGTTCTGTCTGGAGTAATGTTTAGGTTACAATTAGCTGTGTTGGGTTGGATTTTTGTATATTATTCTTATTCTTTTACAAGTAATACTAGTTTTACTTCACAAGGCCACCAATTCCTTCCCTCTCTTCTAAATTGCATTGTTTCCTGGTTTGCTTCATAAATACTGTATATATCATTGAAGGTTTCTGGGAGTTGTAGTTCAGCCGTTTGCTTTATACTGCAGGAAGAGGACAAAACTCCCAGAATCCTTTGCAGTAGTGTTTATAGAAATTTAAGTGAGCTAAGTCACAACTTTGCAGCCATTTCCTGGATTTGAAGTGTGTGTGTATGTATATATGATCGAGAAATACATCTTAAGCTAGTTTAAGAAACACTACAATTAAAACAAATGTGTTAAGTTTTATTGGAATGTTCCTTTAGGCAAATTAACCTAGCTACATTTTATGTTTAGTGATTCAAAATGGTTACATTTTTGTTTCCATTGTCGTGTTTATGATGCTATGATATGCATGATTATTGCCAAAAATGCAACGATCACACCATTTTTATTTTGACCACATGGTGGCAGTACGCATTAGTATTAGATACAAATCTATACCAGAGAGAACATTTTATAAATGTCGGTTCTGGCAATAAATGAAAGCAGCAGTTCATCATGGCTAGTCTCATTGTTCATAAAATTTTTCTGTCTATTTTTAAACTATTGGTGTGGTTATAAAATGTGTGTTTTGGAGGGGGGGGAGGGGGGGGGTTGGGCGGAAAGGTGTAGATTTGTGTCTTTTCACATACTATTTCAGCTGTTTAGTCCTTGGTTGGCCCACTGCTGCCATGTTGCACAACTAAACCAAATTAAGCTGCATCTTCATGCTTAAATCTTTTTTTTTTTTTTTTTTTAATACATATTTCTAAAATATTTTTAATTTATTCCATACACCACTTTTATTAGATTAACTAGTAATAACACCCATCAATCCCTCCGCCCCTCTGACACATGCTGTTCCTGTGTTTCTTTACCCCTTTATTCTAGATTGTAAACTCGTTTTCATAGATTGTAAGTTCATATGAACAGAGCCTTCTTTACCTCTTGTCTCTGTAAATATTATTTTGTCTGTCAATTATTTGTTATCGAATATCATTGCATTATTGTAAAGCACCCCGGCGGAATATGTTGGTAATGAGTAAATGCTAATAATAACGATACTAATCTGCTCTGCAGAACATAGATCTGCATGCACTGACTGGATGGATCCCTGAGAGAATTGCTATGCATTCAGACAATCAAACTTTCGACAAAGAAAGCACATTTAGAATGTTATACCAAAGGTATGGTTAACGCCGACAAGATAGATTGCTATTACCCAATGGAAGCAGATTTAGATATGTTAAGTGTCATAACATCCTATTTGGGTTAACTCATTTAATTTTTTTAATTTGCAATGCAAAAAGAGTTACGCTATGGAAAAAGAATGGGTTTGTTTTGTTTAGCTGTAGGTTTCTAATGATGAAAGAACAAGATGATGTCTAATCGTTAAATTGATACGCCACAAGCAAAAAAATGTATAAGTCTTTGCAAGGCAGGTGCTCTGAGTATTGGGAAGTCTGTAATTGGACAGTTACAGAAAGTCAGGTCGGGTTAGAAGGGGAGGGCTTGAAAAGGCTCTGGAGAAGAGATCTTAATATTTAAATAAAATAAAATGACTTAATGTTATTGAAAGTATTTCTTTATATTGTCTTTAGATTTCACAAGGGTGACGTCCTGATCACCACAGCTACAGGAGTGATGACTGAAGAGGAAGGAGAAAAATGGGGCTTAGTTCCTACTCATGCTTATGCTGTGTTAGACATAAGGGAATACAAGGTGAAAGTTAACACGAGATATAATCAACCAGTCTCTTAATTTTTCCCACCTTGTTATCATGCCTTTTTTCAAACTTATACTGTTGGCCCTGCTCTTTAGTATATACGGTCCTTTCTCACTATCTCTGTCCTTTTTCTTCTTATGTCCCAATCTGAGTCTGCCCGTTCCCACATTTCACCCTGATGCATTTTACCATCACTCAATTTCTCTCTCTTTAGTTCTATTGGCTTATTAGATGGTTCTTCCTGCTACTCAGTTGTCTGCATTTTCAACCATTTATTTCTATTAATTTATTATTCTTATTGTTTTTGAAGACATTCCGGTTTCTTCAGTTAAAGAATCCCTGGAGTCATTTACGGTGGAAGGGACGTTTTTGTGAGAAAGATGAGAGAAGCTGGACCCCTGAACTGCAAAAATATTTAAATTTTGACCCGAGAACAGCACAGAAGATTGACAATGGTAATTAAAAACGTTCTTTGTTCTCATTCGAAGTTTGTTTTCTCTAATTTTGAAATACTCACAGACTGTGTTTGGGCTGTGATTGTTTAAGGTACAGTATTATTATAATACAAATATTTAAGAAACAACAATTGCGTTAAATGGTGATTCATTAGCCATGTCAATTCTAGCAAACTAAGCAAACTTCTAATTTACATCACCAACGCTACCTTGGTCCTTAAACATCTTTACCTTTCCAGTTATTTGTTCTGCTTTTACCAGGATTCAGAAAGGAGCTTTAGATAATTGGGAGAAGGAAATCTTTACTAACACAGTTAAATGGATGTATGTGAGTGGTAGAGCAGTTGACTGGGCATGACACACTCTGAGTTAGTGTGATCTGTTTAAATACAGCAATAGTGAATAGATATACAGACTCGGTCAATCCACATCACCTTGTGTACCTAGGGTGATATCACAGGCTCTCCTCTGAGAAAGTGACTTGGGAATAAATTCAATATCAGTCTTGATAAAATAACTATTGGCATTTTACTTACACTCACACAACGCCAATGACGCTTGTAGAACCATCATGGGACTTGCCTAAGTTACAAGTTGGAGCATATCAGATGCTAAATTAGTCTTGTGAATTGCTTAACTGTAAAGGTGGATTCAAAGCACCATTACTACTTCAGCTAATTGTAGCTGCTATGGTGCTATTTGTCTATGGGCACCTTTTATTCTGTCAAAACTGTTTTGGAACAACAGAGGCACTGCATTTTGAATCATTCATAAGTCACTTGGCAGAAGACAGTGGAACTGCACCTAAAGAATCAATGCACCATAACAACTACAATAACCTGTAGTTATGGTGTGTATACTGTCCTTTTTAAAGGACCACTATAGTGCCAGGAAAACAAACTCGTTTTCCTGGCACTATATGGTCTTTAGGTGCCCCGCACCCTCAGGGTCCCACTCCCGCCGGGCTCTAGGGGGAGGAAGGGGTTAAATGCTGACCTTTCTCCGGCGCTGGGGACTCTCCACCCTCTTCGACCGAATGTGCATGAGCGGCAAGAGCCGCACGCACATTCAGTCAGGTCATAGGAAAGCATTCTCAATGCTTTCCAATGGACGCTGGCGTCTTCTCACTGTGAAAATCACAGTGAGAAGTGCGGAAGCGCCTCTAGCAGCTGTCAATGAGACAGCCACTAGAGGCTGGATTAACCCATATGTAAACATAGCAGTTTCTCTAAAACTGCTATGTTTACAGCAGGCAGTGTTAACCCTAGATGGACCTGGCACCCAGACCACTTCATTGAGCTGAAGTGGTCTGGGTGCCTATAGTGGTCCTTTAAGTTACTCATTGTTGATTGGAGTTGATTGTGAGTTGTTTTTTTTTTTTTTTTTAATGTATATTTATTTTTGCGAAATAGAACATTTTCTAAAGAAATCTATCAAGTGTAATTTATATGTATTCTACAAGAACACCTGGTATCTTAAAAGATTCTTAATAAAAACAGCTTGTTATCATAAGACACATCATGTGATTTTTCTTATCTTGTATCTGTTGTTTTATTTGCATAATGCTTTTGTGTGTTCCTTAGTATCTATCACAAATGTCACTTAACAGGTATTTATGGGACACAACAAAGATGGCGTTATTAAAGCGCCAGTAAACCATTAACTGATAGTTGAACCACAGCATTGTGTTCCACATCTGCAGGTATATTCTGGATCACCTGGGACGATCTGTGTCAGTATTATGATGTGATCTACTTGAGCTGGAACCCATGCCTTTTTAAAGACTCAACATGCATTCACAGGTACCTTTACTTGTTAAAACCAATTCCCCAATAATTCCATCAGACATTTACTTGGTCACTAGCTGGGAATAATAACATTATTTGCTGGACTTTTGAGCTGAGGTTTTCAAGTAGGCCATCAATTGGGCATACACAGAGAGCGGTGTTTCTTTTGTTTATTCCAATAAGATGATGAGTGCAGAATTTCTGGATACAATGTGACCAATACATGCATTGATAAAAGATACATTTTATTCTTAGACAGAGCATATATTTAGGCTGTATATGAATATATAGTTTTTGCTTTATGTACTAAGGTGCTATCCTAATTCTAAAAAGAGATAATCAGAAGCACTGGGTGGAAGAAAAGTGATGATAAAAGAGCCTGTAAGTAGGAGAGAGAGGGGAAGCAAACTCTAATATATTAAGCATGAATAAGGAGCAAGGCCGATGTATAGTGTTTTTTCTAAATGGTACAGTAAAGCTAAACTGGCTTTATAGCAGTTGTGCTTCCTCACATCTTCTAACCGCTGCTCAGGCAGGACAGATTGGGAATGGCACATAATAGACTTTGTAAAGATAGTTTGTTGTTTGTACGTATGTTTGTGTGTATTTGTTCACTAAATTGCAGTGTGTGACCAATGAAATCAATCAATCAATCAATAGCACAGTTGAAAATAAAGCTTAGTAGCGATTCTATTACTTTAGTTGAAATTTGATATTGTTTTCATTTTATCGTAATTCACAGTTTATCTATTAGTATGCTATTCACATACACATTATGATCTCACTTGTTACTGTTTAATGATTTAAGTAATGATTTATTATATTTTACAGCACTTGGGATGCCAAGCAGGGACCCGTTAAAGATGCATACAGTCTCGCTAACAACCCACAATATAAACTTGAAGTTCAGTGTCCAAAAGGGGGCGCTGCAGTTTGGATCCTCCTAAGCAGACACATCACTGACAAGGTTTGCTTGACCGAGTAGTTTGTGCACAATAGGAGCAGTTATTCTCAAAGCCATTTTATTTAAAGAACCACTATAGGCACCCAGACCACTTCAGCTTAATGAAGTGGTCTGGGTGCCAGGTCCAGCCAGGATTAACTCTTTTTTTCTATAAACATAGCAGTTTCAGAGAAACTACTATGTTTATATTAGGGCTAATCCAGCCTCTAGTGGCTGTCTCATTGACAGCCGCTAGAGGCGCTTGCGGGCTTCTCACTGTGAAAAAAATCACAGTGAGAAGACGCCAGCGTCCATAGGAAAGCATTGTGAATGCTTTCCTATGGACTGGCTGAATGTGGGCGCGGCTCTTGCCTCGCATGCGCATTCAGCCGAGGAGGAAGAGAGCTTCCCTTCCGGCGCTGGAGAAAGAGGTAAGTTTAACCCCTTCCACCCCCTAGAGCCTGGCGGGAGGGGGACCCTGAGTGTTTTCCTGGCACTGTAGTGGTCCTTTAATATTTTACACTTAGCATTAATATATAAAATGCTGTTTAGTGTTATTATGCCAATCAGTATATTCTTTGCTTCTCCATTGTGCTTGTTTGCCAGCTTTTGAATGAACCTTTAACTTGTGTGATTAACAAGTTGGTTCCCAAAAAACACATCTCACTGTTTTTCCAATGGTCCTTAATCTTTTTTTTTGACAGTGTCTTGCAACCTAGTATATAGCAATACCCATGCAAAAAAAATAATAAAAATCAACACAGGTCATTGTGGTCAGCTGCTTGTGCTATGGTAGATGTGTTGTGCTGGTTCCAGCACATGAGAATCCACTTAAATAGCTGGGGTACCAAGTTTTGAATGATCACCAAAGGAGTAAGACTACTGGTTTAGGCAATAGACAGGACAAAGCCATAATAATTTTGAATAATAAACAGCACATTCCCTTGTTGTCAGGATAAGTCTACAATTACATTAATTAATTGGCAGCCAGCCGCTAGACTGTCCCTTCCAAATTGCACCAGTGCAGTAAACCTAATCTTATTGAGGCTATTTGGGATGGTTAGAGTCTAATGTTACACAGGAAATTATCTTTTACACGCCACATGAGAGCAGTTCAGGGGACAGACTCCAAGTAAGTTGAATATATGCTACATACAATAATTAGTAAAAAGATATATATATATTTTTTTATATTATTACAGTATTTCTTTTCCATTTCCAAGCAATCATTGCATGAATTCCTTCCTAATCAAGTTAATATGTAACAAAGCCAAACTTTAGAAATCGTTAATATGTATGCTATGTCAGTCCGTGGTGTTAACTTTGTACTTTGTGCCAAGCCACACGATATCCATCCCAGGCAGTGAATGTCCGTGCTGATAGTGTTTGACTTTATAGCTGTTTGTCTAAGCTTGGCAAAATATTAACACACAATAAGAACCAAAGAGCCACATGTATTTAGATTATATATTAAAATTACATTCTGTGCTAAGGCCTGGTAAGTCATATAACTCTAATGCTACATGTGTTTGTTTTTTGTTTGTTTTTTTATATGCAAATATGGGTGATGTTCAGATAGGGTGAAATCTATTAATCTCTTAAATTCCTCATATTATTTGTTACAGGATGATTTTGCTCATAACAAAGAGTTTATAACATTGATTGTTTACAACAAGACTGATGGTAAAAAGATTTACTATCCAGGTACGTTTTGTCTCAAAAAGTTCCTTTTGCCGAAATTCACATGCTTGTCTTTTTGACAAAGCATAAAAATGTGTTGTACAATATGTATTTTGCGAATTTTAAAGGAACATTCCTAGGACTATGACTACTACAGCCCTTTGTAGTGATTATGGTGCTAAGAGTGCCCTGGCACCGTGAAGATGTCAAACCGTTTTAGTCCTGTTTAACAACTTACCTAGGTTCATATAGGCACTTGCAGCTACAGGTTTTAGTGGTTATGGTCCTTTCAAGGATCAATGATTCACTGTAATTTAACCTCTACAATAAGTTGCTGTAGTTATGGTGCTTAGTGTGCCCCTTTAACACGGACTAAACAGTTAGGGAAACGTAGCTCACAAACATCTGGAATTCCAAGGTTATCAATATAGACTATCTGGACACCAATACACTTCCGGTGTAATCTTCTGAACACTAAATGTGTTCATAGTGTTCTATAAAAATCTTATAATATGTCTAGGTTTTGCTTTAAATTAACAGCGTTAAAGAACACGCAGTAGTACAATACTACATCATGTGATTGGTGAATATGCAATAAATAGTCTCTGGTGGCATTTTCCAATTATTTAGTTGAATATGCTTACAGGAGATTAATTAGAAGATCCAATTATTGGTTATTCACCCAGGGTTAAGCCTACTTCTCATATAAGTGTGTTATTCATCTCATTAATTGTCTCTGCACGATAAATGACAAGTGATAAGTGCAAAGGTGAATTAGTCTAAACAGTTAACAATACATTCTTAAATCTTTTTAAATTTGGTTTATGTTAAATACTTAAAAGCTCCATATACCAGTTAAAAAATGTATTAAACGAAGTTCATTAAACGCGGTTTGCCATTTTCCAGCTGACCCTGCCCCCTACATTGATGGAATTCGGATAAACAGCCCTCACTACCTTACAAAGATGACATTGACCTCTCCTGGGACTCATACATTCACACTGGTGGTATCTCAGTATGAGAAGCAGAACACCATTCATTATACACTTAGGGTAAGTGTGATAAGCAGCTAATGGAAAGAAGACATTCCAACGCATTTCACTTTATTAAGAAGTACATACGAGGTTTCAGCTGTAGTCAAAGCACATGTGGGAGATCTATACTTGGTGAAACTGTCCTGTGTCTGTTATACATATTTCATGGTTCACCTCCCAATTAAATACCAAGCTCCCAATTGTAATAAAGGTAAAATAGCTTTATAGTCAACACCTGTCTGTGATTAAAGCTATTTTAAAAAATGGAGAAGATTAGGGGTGTATATGAGTAAACCATATGAGAAAAAAAAAAAGTAAATTAACAAAGTCGATGGATAATGATTAATATGGAGTGCTGAAATTGAAAGCAATGAGTAGAGACCCATGTCTTTATTATGAATAGCTCATCTAAAATATGTGTAATATGTCATGTCAAACGAAAAGCTAGCCCGTGTTTACTAATTAATGCATTTTTCTAGGTTTATGCCGGTTGCAAGTTTACATTTTCTAAGATTCCCACACCATACACAATAAATCGTCGGGTAAGAGCTACAGATTTAAATTCACATAGTGGCCATTTATACATTGACTTTTGGTAGATATTTAATTTACTTTGTCTACTTCCAGATTAACGGACAGTGGAAAGGACAGAGTGCTGGAGGTTGTGGCAATTTCAGAGACACCCACAAGAATAATCCTATTTATCAGTTTCAAATGGAGAAGGCTGGACCATTACTGGTAGAATTGCGTGGACCAAGGTTTGTTATTCTCTACTCTTTGAACCTATAGTTAACCCCTTAAGGACACATGACCTGTGTGACATGTCATGATTCCCTTTTATTCCAGAAGTTTAGTCCTTAAGGGGTTAATAAGGGCTGTTCTGCCCTGATGTCCTGCTTCTTAGGACACTCATGTCAAGTCCATGGAAAGCACAGCACAAGCATAATATAAGATGTTCTGTCAGGGTGCAATATACATTACAGTGCTCTAAGCAGAGCTGCAGGAACACCATGCTGAAACATCCATTTCTCACTAGGTACATGTCCCATTAGGCATCACTAGTGATGTGTAGTAATGCAAGACATGTTACTGCCCCAGAAGGCTTTCATTTCGTGAACTCGTTACTATTGACCAGAAAAAGCACAGATTTCTATTCTAGAAATTCCTGGAGAGGGTTCAAGGGTAGGGGGCTGTTGGATAACCGCTTCCCCTAGTGGCTGTTTACATATGCGAAAGCACTTCAGCCCCTAGTGGCTGTTGACATATCTGAAAACACTTCAGCAGTGTTTTCAATTAACCTTCAGTTTCTGCCTGATGGTCTATTTTACTTTACAGTATAGAACTAATTTGTTTATATAACACGTTACTGTAGAAAGCACAAAAACTTTACAGATAAACTTGGCAAAACAATTTAATTTCTTGGCATTAATAGCCTTATAATCTAGATTTATTATCATATGAGCTGTTTTTTGTCTCTTCTTTCATATACACTTTTTATAAAAATATATTTAGAAGACATCACATGCAAAGTGCTGCCTACAAATGTGGTGATAAGGCTTTACATTTTTATACATTGTGAGTGCATTCATATTAGCACCTAAGGTGCTAAGCACTTTCATTTAGACATATTGCCCTATGATATGTTTACTTTTTAGCATCTTCCTTGTTATATGGTATTTAAGAGGATTTAGAGGAGTCCTGTGGATTGTTATTTTTCAGAGAAATAATTCATTTATTTTATCACTCGTTGTTTTTACAAGTGTGTGTCTACCACATCTGAATAAGAACCATATATATTGATATATGTATATATATATTTGAGTGTATTAAAGGGACACTCAATTTTCCAAATAAATAAACAAACATTGTTTCGAAGATAGAACCTCAATGAAAACATCCATGTATTTAATCATGCATTGTTTTCATTCAAGGTATATCTAAAAACAGCTTTTAAAAAAAAGCTACAGATCATCTCTTTGCAAGCCCTCTTTTTGTAATCCCACCCTTCAATCACAGACTGATCAATGCAGCTAAATGGGAAGTTTTTACAAGGCAGGTGTTCTGGATAATTGCTGCCTCTTGAGTTTAGCTCCACTGAGCTAACCAAACCAGGAAGCAACAGAATGGATTGTTTAACAGCCAGGGGGTGTAACAATGTTAATTTATAAAAGTGCCAATTTCAATTGAATTATTTTTGTAAAATGTGCTTTATGGGTCTGGAATGTCCCTTTAATTTTATAATACACTCCTTTAAATCAAATAACTGATCTTGTGACTGATAAATTAGTTTGATAAACACCCTAGGAGTTCTCTAGGAGGACTATGGAGATTAATTATTAAACCCCATACATCCCATTATGCTGTGATTTAAATCTTTCTTTGTGACATCCCATAATGTATTGAGTGAATACAGCTGCAGAATTTGCAGTGTCATCACTTATTTCTTAAATCTAGCATTTGTATTTGAATGTTTTAGAAAAGAACTTACACTAACAACTGAGCCAGTGTACTATAAAAAAATACATGCTCTGTTTCCTTATCACGCAGGCAGTACAGCGTTGGCTTTGAGGTTATTACAGTATCTGCAACGGGAGATCCTGGTTCATCTGGTTTCCAGAAAAAAGGCAGTGGTGATTACAGGTACGGTAATTGTCCTTTCCCTATAGTATGCATGAAGATCTCAATGTGAAATGCAATGGGTTCTGCCCATTTAATTTAATATGAAAACGATAAATACATCACATTTATTCCTGTTAGCGTAAACCTTATCACCTGCTGACTTCTAAGATCAATTATTATTAAAAATCCTCTTGTGTTTGTTTTTAAAGAATTGAATTGTGTATTTAATTCAAAGAAATCATTTGGGATTACTAGTAGGGATTTAGTTGTCTTTTGTATCACAATAAATAAAAAGGTCTATAAAAAGACAATCTCCCTTTATATTACCTTTTTTCAATCAGGATTTCTGATGTCATATACCATGGGTCCTCAAACTCCGGCCCCCCAGATGTTGCTGAACTACAACGCCCATGATTCTCTGGCTATCTATGTAATTCAAAGAATCATGGGAGTTGTAGTTCAGCAACATCTGGGGGTCGGAGTTTGAGGACCCATGTCATATACAATGATATGCAATGCATATACAATGCTAAATAATTACCAAAGGAAATTTATGTTCTGTTCACATACAGCTGTAGAAGGTCCTGGCGTTTGGCCGCCACCTGACAGCATTGAGATATATTTTGTGTTATTATTTGTGCGATAAAATACAAATTGTTGATACAATGTTATGGGTTGATGACCAATAGGACATGTCTGTCCACAGTGCCATTATCCCACTTGTGCACTTCAATCCATATTTCATCAGTGTATGTCTCACACACTAGTGACTGGCCTTCTTTTAAGAAACACTCCAAGTCTTAAACTGGTTATATTTATAATATAAAATGTGTGCAAATAGTATTAACAACACGAAGTGTCATCATGCTGGGCATGATGCTGAACATATTGGTCTTCAATTGTTTAAGGGCTTTTAAAAAGGCACTTCCATCTGAAGCCCTTGAAAATATTATTATATATTCTATTCTCTGACGAATGTAAACATTGTTGTTTCTCAGAAAATGCAATGTTTATATTTGTCAGAGAAAAGGGGACAGCATCACTGCACCAAAACCACTACATTAAAGGGACTCTCCAGTGCCAGGAAAACCAACAGTTTTCCTGGCACTGCAGGTCCCCTCCCACCCCCCATCCCAAGTTGCTGAAGGTTACAACCCCTTCAGTGACTTACCTGATGTTCCTCGGCTGTGGTTCAGGGTCTGCCCACACTCCTCCCCGATATCATCCAGCGGGGGAGATCAAATGCGCATGCGCATTAGACCTCCACATAGGAAAGCATTGAAAAATGCTTTCCTATGGGGATTTCAGCTACGCTGGAGGTCCAGAGATGCTATAGCACACGAAATGTGTGCTGTAAACCCGGAAGTGCCCTCTAGTGGCTGTCTAGTAGACAGCCACTAGAGGAGGAGTTAATCCTGCAAGGTAAATATTGCAGTTTATGAAACTGCAATATTTACAGTTGCAAGGTTAAGGGTAGTGGGAGTTGGCACCCAGACCACTCTAATGGGCAGAAGTGGTCTGGGTGCCTGGAGTGTCCCTTTAAGGTGTGGGGTTTTGGTGCTTAGTGTCTCTTTTAAAGAGATCCTGAACATATCCCATGGGACGCAAGGATTCATGGGGTACAACAGTGATATTGAGGAATTTTCTCTGTCAGGAATTTCCCCCTGCCATGGTCTTTCATACCAATTTGCAACTCTCTGTATTTCTCTTTGTCTACAAACCATATGGTAAGGAGCCCCAATGAATGATACAAGACAATGTAAGGTTTAAGGTGACTTCTAACGGGCTGTGGAACAGGTTATGTTCAGCAGGAAACAGGGGTGGTCTTAACAAGTATTATCCAATTCTAATAAAATCATCTATCTTAACCTACAGCAAGCTTGCAGGTGTATCTTCATGTTTAGGCCTTGCACAAAATTCTAAATTACACATTATTATGCAGTTGTGATCAAAGGGGGAAACACACAGGATATAACACATGTTACACAATGTTCTATAGCTCTTGTTTAGGGGTATATTCACTAAGCATAGAATATAGATAAAGTATATTATTTCAAATAGCTGACATGCTCCAAGTTAGCCAGTTTTAAACAGACTGTACATCATGTCATCTGTAGTTTGAGCCTTAGGTCAATATAGGCAAAGTGTATTATTCCCAACAAACAGTGTTCCAATTAAATAATGAAACCGCCTCTTTCTGTTTCTTGGGGATTCACAGCAAATGGGGTGAGGGGTATTTGAAACAGTATCTTGTATTCGATTTTGATTTATATTTTCCAATCTGTATAATTAAGGACGTGGGGTGGCTCTGTGTGTCAATGTGTTTGTCTTTCCAACTATTTTACTAAAGCACATACTCATTGGTAATGTTGGCCACTTCTCCTTTCTCTTTTTCAGGTGTGGGTTTTGTTATCTGGAACTAGAGAATGTCCCAGCTGGCATTTACAATGTTATTCCGACAACGTTCCTGCCAGCTCAGGAGGGTCCCTTCTTTTTAGACTTCAACAGTGCAATACCAGTCAAAGTGTCACAGTTACAATGATTGTGGATATTCCAGAGATCCTCAGGAACCGCCTCTCAAAAATCCCTTCTTCCACTGAGCACAGCTGAACCCAGCGGGCACTGAGTTTACATGGCACTTGCAGGGCATGGCATTTTTAAGCTGTGATGCTTCTGACACTTTACCATACACAGATTACATGCCCTCATCCTTGAAGAGTCTTATTTTATGAAAGGTTGTAAGGGAAATGGGTACTGTTCATGCCCAGAATTTAATCTGTACTTGAATAATTCAAAAGAATAGTGCTATAAAGAATATTTTTTTCCACCACAGTGCATTGCATTTTGTTTTTAAAACAAATGTATCGGTTAATATATACATTTCAAAAATTATGTCTGCATATAACAGCTACCTTTTAGGTGTCGGATTACAGTATAATAAAAGGAGTGCTGACTAAAATAAACCTTTTAATTATTAGCACGCCTTGTATAAAGCACTGGTATTATTTGTATCACCACATTTTTGCCGTCTTCATTTTGTAGAATGCAGAGGCCATCAGGAAGTGGTGTATTAAAAAAAATGGAGGGGGTGAGGGGGAGAGGAGGGTAGGGAATGCAGGGGGAAAGGATTGCACAAAATAGAATCAGAACACCCACAAACTGACAAAAGAAGAGGGACAAAACCTAGGATTTAGGTCTTGGTAGGGTAACCTTGCCCAGGATGTCTATGCATCTTGTTCACCAAACCATTTGGGTACCAAGTGTTAATGCTAAATTTTAAATGTCTCTGGTCTGGATTGGTAAAAATAATCCAGTACGATCTGGGATTTTCAGATTTTAAAATGGAGACATTGATCAAAGTATTTATCACAATCTAGATTTTGGGCATTCGGCATCTAAATTGACATGAATATCCACTGGACATCAGCCTGTGTGGCTGAAATCCAGACTAAATTTCACAATGACAATGGAAAAAGGTAAAACAAAACTCAAAGCAAGAGTTAATAAATGTGACATTGGACCAGCTCCACTTACTCCCGCAAAGAAAAGTGTAAAGTAAAAAAAAAAAAAAAAATCAATTGTTATTCTGAGTGTCCTTTTCTGGCGTACTTGTATATGTATCTCCGTACCGTGACTTTGATATGAAAAAAAAAAAACTTCATAAAAGTTTCTTGCCAAGCCTTATAATAAAAATATATATATATTATACACACACACACACACACACACACACACAGAGAGCTGCCACATAGTATAAGAGGAAACATTCTAGCTTGCCCTTTCTAGTACTTTTTTGCAGCAGTTTTAAAGTCTGACTTGACAGAAGTTGGAAATTTGAAACCCAGTTTGTAGATATTTTTACAAAAGAAATCCGAAAATACAACTGGGGGAGAGAAATGGGAAAAATGAAGAGAGGGGAGCAAGTAGTGAGATAATTAGTGTGTGTACAACAAGCATGTCAAACACGCGGCCCACAATGGACATCTTTGCAGCCTGGCGAGCCGTAAGTACATGCTTAGTGTTATAGCAGAATAGGCACCTGCTTTCCCTACATTGCAGGTGCCTACTCTGCTAAAACTTACCCAGCCGGGGAGGAGGGAGCTCAATGTCCCTGCTCCTCACTGCTCCCTCGCGCGCGCCGTCTGTAGTGAAGCCGGGCGCCGGAGGCAATCATAGCTGACTTTTTCCACTTTCACTATTTTGGTTTTAAATATGAAATTCACTTCATATTCCCCAAAATTTCATTTGTGAATAAAACCAGCAAATGTTTTCTGAATGCAATTTCCAAAAACCCTTTAAAGCCCAGAACACAGCGAGTGGCTGGCAGAGGTTACTAGGAGTCATAATATGCTTTAAGTATAATTACCTATCCCTGGCACTGGATGGGCGGACATGCTCACCTAAAAACACAAAAAAGGTAGCATGGTGGCCTCTTTTCATATTGGCACAAACTGTAAAATAAATTCTAAAATACACACAATAAAATGTACTCCTTGATTACATGAATTACAACCAGAAAGAACCCATCCAGGTTATGGTAAAACAGCAGAAGCCATTTCGCAAATATGACTGTAATTACATCTTAATATAAAGCAAAAACTGCCTGTCTGTCCCACCCTATTTACACACCATATTAATCTATTATATGGGATCAGAGGGGTCCCCCTGGAGGATAAATGGGTGCTCCCTAACACTCTGACCTTGGTTTAAATGTTGTGAAGAATGAAATCCACAAAATTACCTCTATAGTTATAATATAGAGAAAGCCGACACACATCACATGAACACTTAGCAAAACATATTAAATACATTTAACCAAAAGTAACAACAGTCAATGCTTCGCTAAATGTAGACACAGTTTAATGTTCCTTTCAAATAAAGGGACACTTATCTTTAATGGTTATCGTACAGAGAGACTGGACAGTTTCAGCAATGCAAATACTCCCTTATCTGGGAAACGTAGCCACTAGTGGGGCTTTCTGGTGCGCTCAGTATCGTCACACAGCATGAAAGCGTCACATTTTTCACATAGAGATGCTTGGAGTCAATGAAGATGCTTCACCAATGCTAATGACTAAAATCATCACATCACGAACGATGATCTTAGCCAGGGGAGAAACAGCAGCAGTGGCAGGACTGGCATTCTGGGGGGCAAAATGTAAGTACAACTCTTTTTCATAGATCTAAAAAAGTACTATACCACTCAACTCCTAATAGGCAGCCTCACGCCTTATTATCTGTCAACATGTAGCAGTGACACAGTTACGTAACTGTATCTTCATTGTATTTTATTGTGATTGTATATTTATAAACAAACTTTTTTATAAAATAAAGAATAAATCTGAAAAGAACAAAAATGTAGCAGTAATACGGCTGTATTAAATGTTAGCAATGTACGGGTTTTCACTAAACGAGAATTTACAAATGAATAATTTTCATCAGAACAGCCAAGATGAAGAAAAAAATAATTCTTTAGTTTTGAGGGGTCTTCTTTTAAAGTATATATATTTTTCTCTTTTATACATCTTTTTCCACCAGTAACAAAACATGAAATTATTCATCCAATTTGCAGAGCATCAGGAACCACAGTAGTTGTTTTTACTCTTAAACCATGCTCCCATTACACCTTCTAATGCTTAGAGGAAATCTTCAGAGCTGTAAGTTGGGGCCTAAAGGAAATGAGGTCAAGAAGTAGAGCAGGGAAAGGCAACCTTCACACTTGAGATGTTGTGGACTACATCATCCACAATGCTTTTACAGACATAATGGTGGCAAAGCATCAGGGGAGATTTAGTTCACAACATCTAAAAGTGCTGACGGTTTCCTGAACGAGTGTTTGCTTTGAGATGGGGAAATAAAAATGTAGTGCAAGAAATAAAGGGAATTGATTCATTTTAATGTAAAATTTACAAAAAAATTTGAGTGAAAATAATTGTAAATTCTCATTAACTAAAAGAAATAGTTAAATTCCTAACCTATATATTTCCCATTCACTCATTGTTATGTATTTATTTTTTTATTTTTTTAAAAACATTTATCCCACGCTGTGTTGTGTTTGAATCTTCAACAATACATTTCTGAGAAAACAAATCTGGATTTGCTGATAATACAAAAACAAAAAAAAAAACAGGGTGTGGGGGGGAGAATATATGTTATGATGGTACATATGCAATATACAATAATGTACTAGACTAGGCATTGGAAACTTTTGGCACTCCAGATGTTTTGGACTACACCTCCCATGATGCTTTTTCATCATTATGGGTGTAAGAGCATTATGAGGGATGTAGTCCACAACATCTGGAGTGCCAAAGGCTGCCTACCCCTCTACTAGAGTATGTAAGTGACAAAACAAAAACTACTCTGAAATCGTGACTGTATCTTTCACCTTCAACAGTTTTCACAAAGAAAGGGACGTTACAGCTCACACAAAAACAATAAATTGGAATGCAGTTTTGTTTGCATTTAATACCCTTTAATATGCATCATTTTTTCTACAGAAACATAAAAGCTGTTGCTTAGACTTTACACAAAACAAAGACAGCAGTGATGAGAATAATCACATTTCAGTAATACTAAATTGTCCTAAGAAAGTGGTACATTGAAAACAACATAGAAAATGAGACTAGATAATATTACTACAAACTAGAAGAGACTCCACTGTCTCTAACAGCATCATTGTCTAGTGTTCTCCTCCCAGAAACCCCATTGGACCATGCACTATGAACAGCTAACATCCAATTCGTATCATCTAACCTATTTCAGCTACAAAACTAGAACTACAAGTCAAATGTAGCATTTCAAGGATTTGGATATTGGAATTCGGTGCATCTAGGGGAAGGCATTAAAATGTACTCCTCCCCCTCCCCCCCCCAACTTTGCAACTAGCACTGGACATTTACTAGTGATCATTATTTTGGATTACTATCCTTATCCTTGTAGTGAAAGAAGCTGTAAACATTGCAAATTGCACACGGTAGAATTCAGTCCTACTTTCGTCTGTTCTACAAGACATGAAAAAAGGACACAATCTCAGGATTACAGAATTCAAAATATTTAACACATGACCATTTCGTAGTCTACTTTAAGTCCATCATTCTCTTTTAACCGCTTCCACGTTCAAACACGTAGTTCCAAAATTTTAAACACTTGTCTTATCAGTTCAGTTGATTTTATAGATTTCTTGTGAAGAATGCATAACGTTTCAAGTTTGAAGCATGTCCATCATTTTTGTCTACAATCTACACCATCTCATTTTGCCAGAGCAGGCAACGTAACATTCTCTCTGAGAATGTACTGTAAGAATGAAGAATTTCCCCAATGTGATATACACTGTTATACAGCATAAATACAAATACAAGTTAGACAGAGTAAGGTCAATAGGTTTGGAAGACGCATAATGTAAGGCGTACAATGCATTAGTGGTTAATGTGAAAAAAAAACCTACTTTTTATTTTGACATGAACATGTATGTCTGTAATGGCTGTCAGGCTATTTGTATACATGGAAACATCACATTCAGTTGACAGCTATATTAAGTTGGCAGTACAGGAAACAAATTCAATAATTGAAGCAATTAATTTACTCTCTCCTTATATGTCTAAGTTAAATGTATTTATGATAACCTGCTGTATAGGTGGATAGATGTCTTGACTGAAATAAAACTTATAGTATGTTTTGGGTTGCGTTGAGATCTTTGAATATCTATTAATTATGTGCATACATATATCCTTGACTCCCACATCCATGATGAGATTTTAAAGACCGTTGTAAAAGTGCTTGTCCAAATTGCATCATTGCATGTTCTAGAGTGCCATATCAGAAATCAATCCAATCTCTAAAATGTCAATGCAATCTCTATTCCCATCTTAACATCCGAACAGAGAGGAACACTATTTGTCTGTCAGAACAATAATGGAAACCTCCATAGCAAAAACATGAAGAACAAAAACAATCCTTGCTACAAATGTTCATAGGAGAAGTCATATCCATTTATCCATTTGGCACAGATTGCTTGGGCTTTGCAGCAATTTATTGCTTTGATGATGGCTATTCCTCACTTCATCCCCCTCCCCCCAAAAAAATATCCCAAGAGCATACAGTAAATATGGACAGGAAAATGCAGAGTGACTGCCCTCTAGAAAAGCCACCTGTACTTCATTTATCACACCGTCTCATGCTATGTATCTCCAGCTCAAATTCATCCAGATCCCAGCAGCAGCAGCACACTCGGTGTGTGGTGAGCAAAGATTGTTGGCCAAGATAGTCTCCTCTGTCATATGCCAAGTGGCTCACACTTTATTAGACAAAACCATTGACACCACCTTCCTGCCTGTGCCAGGATCATTCTCTGGCTTTGCATGGTATAAAGATAGCTGTTTCATCTTGTTGTCCAGCGCACAGAATACCGTGGACTTCCTGATATTTTTAGTCGTGTTGCTGTTATTGTTTATTCTGTCTTGGGCTTTGTTTTCTGATCCTTCTGCTCTATTCCCTGTACAAATGCAAAAAAAAAACCCCAGCAAAACATACAGAAAAAG